GATTTGATTACAACATCTACTCAAGAACACAAATCATAACTACCATTCCTCCACAAAACGGTGAAGAACAATAATGTAAATTATACCCTATCGTAACTAATGAACAATATTATAATGTACACACTTTGCGTATAGCTTAATAATTAAAAAAACTGAAAATATGAATCGAACAAAGCATCACAAACTTAATATAAAATTCATAACCAAAATGTATTATATTTAACAAGTGAATACATTCCTTTAAAAAAAAAAAACTCTTCTGGTCTCAGTTTCAAAAAATAAATTTAAGTCCACTAGAAAACTTTTTTCTTCATTTGTATTTACAAAGCTTAGACGCCGATAGTTGCATTACGTACCAAAAACATTATTGTTTTAAAAATTCTTGGTTCAGTTGTTCCATTGCACTTCCTAAACACGACTCAATTGTCCTATCCAAACTTTCCTCTGTCGTATACAGCAAACATCATTCGTTTCTGTTTAGTGTTTTTAAGTTCTTGGCATGGTTTTAGAGTCTTACTTACATTCTTTTCTGACTGAAACTGCAAATTCGGAAGGCAACAATTGGTAACTTCATATTTGTGCTGCAAGTCCGTTAAGTTGTTTTCATTCAGATGGTTTAGCTCTTCGATATGTACATCAAGTTTCACAGTTTTTGCCTTGTTCTCTAGAGATTTTAGTAGTATTTGACGTCCATTTTGTATTTTCTTTTTCCTCTCCTCATCATTATAGGTTTTACTTTTCTTCTGAAATTTTAACAAGAGTTTACGTCCAGCGTTTATCTTATTCTGCCTCTTGTTCTCTAGAGATTTTAGTAGTATTTGACGTCCATTTTGTATTTTCTTTTTCCTCTCCTCATCATTATAGGTTTTGCTTTTCTTCTGAAATTTTAACAAGAGTTTACGTCCAGCGTTTATCTTATTCTGCCTCTCCTCATCCATGATGATCGACTCTCAACTTCGCTTTCGTCAAACATGTTCAGTTTGACGTCTATACAAATTTCGGTGGAACCTCCAAATGTGTAACGGGTATAGACTATGACTACTGAAACATGCTATAACATACAGAGTCAGTACAACAATGTATATGTATATATCAGAAAGTAGAGATGTTTATTCGGCAATCACCAATTCAAGACTCTGACTGGATGTACAAAAGCAGGCACTTAAATAGAAGAGTTATCTTATCTACAAGAATGGTTTACAATGTGGGTTTAAGGGATTAACAATATAGAAATAGGTGTGAAAAGGGTTGACTACAGGGGGTGGAAGGGATACAGGTTATGGTAAGGTGCTATTAATTAAAACTAGACAAAGGAAGGCTATGCTAGAACTAGAACAAAGAACATTATATACCTGAACATAGAACAACATAAATATGGTATAGTAATTAAAACTAAGTAATTAAAACAAGTAGACGTTCCGTCTTAGTCTACTGACTACAATAATGAATAATAAAACTATAACAAATAATATGAGACACAACCCATTGTCTATATTAGATCACTTCTCATTGGGTAACAAAGTCGTAATTTTTCATTTTTGTCAAAAAGTGTCTATAGTGTGGTGAATTGTGGTTTAGGTTTAGGACGTCACAACAATAGATAGAGACGTTAGCCAGTTGTGCGAGGTATCGGCTGAGATTTGTGGACTATAGGTCTAATAATGAATTATTGTGATGTTAAATAGACAATGTTAGCTATCAAAGAGCGACGTTGTTTTTCATTGGGACCTTCGTCCCTTCAAGGGTAGGCCTATATACCATCCTAGCTAGTCTAGGCCTAGAGTAGGATAAGGCTAGCGCGACATGCAGACGTTGGTACGAGTAGGTTAGTCTACAAACGTCGCCTAAAGTAATTGATTTTACCCGGCAGAAGGAAAGAAGGAAACTCCGCTTTTCAGTCGTCTTAGGCACTCGTTTTTTGACAAACAATGACCTTTCAGAGGTCAAATGCTGTCGAGAATATGAATTGGCTGCTTCGCAGCAAAAAGTTACATGAAACAAACATTGAGGTAAAATACTGTATACCATCAAACAAACAAGAAAGAATACGGTAAATGAATACATACTGTAAGAACACCAGGCAGCAGTGAGCAATGGAATATGATAATGATTATTAAGTCTGAGGTAGGATTTTAGTTGTAATATAAAGGATAAGACAGTAGAATCATTAAAGAATAAGAGAGAGTTCAGGAGGAGAGAAGAAGCTTGATAATGAAAGGATTTTTTAAAGAGTTAAGTTGTGCATATGAAAGACAATTAAAAAAAAAATACTGCAGTACTAAAAAGTATAATCCAATTAAATGAAAAAATATCAGTAGGATTATCATTGTCCTCTCAACACCACCAAAAACAAAATAACATGGCTTATTCCCACAGCTTTATAGTGATAACACTATGGGAAAAAATTCTGAAGAAGCAATCAACAACACCACCTCGTCTGAGCACAACAACAATAAAACCAACAATAACAACTTGTAAATATTTCCAAATACAGAAAACTTCATCAATTTTTTTACAGGGGTTATAACAAGGTTGCCTTGAAGTTTGAAAACAAAACAATATGCAATAAAATAACCATACAATATTGAAGTTACACTTTTATGGAAATCAAGAGTAGAGTACAAAGAAAACTCGAACGTACACAACATCAAATAGAACAAGCCATTAAAAAAATGAAAAGCATGGATATAAAAGGAACTTGAATTTTAATTAAAATTCTTTTTTTTAAAGAATTTTAACAAGGACAAATAAGAAAGGAACACAGAAAACTTTAAACAATTTTTTACAGGTGTTTATAACAACATTGCCTTGAAGTATGAAATACAAAACAATAGTGGAATAATATAATTAACGCTTGTGGTATACCACATAGATAGTTCTGAAAAGAACATTTTTATGGGAATCAAGAGTAGAATGCAAAGGAAACTCAAATGCAAACAACATATGGAAAAAGCCATTAAAAAATGAAAAAACATGGACATGAAAGCCTTGGATTTAATTTTTTTCTTTTTTAAAGAAATTTAACAAGGACAAATAAGAAAGGAAGTACTATTACTGACAGGTTATTCATATACCTGTACAGTATTCTATAGAGCAATGTAGTGACACAATAAACATTCAGCCTAATGGATACCCTCCCTCTGCTAAGTAGGTACTTGCTGTTAACTTGTTTAAAGTGGCAGTCCCCAATGACGTAGTAAGCAATAGGTAACACAGCTGTAGTAAGAAATTCCGATTGGGAGGTTGTGAGATAAACACTGATCCCTATTCTAGTGTCCTAGACTAGACACGTTTATGTTTACTTCCAAGTCTCTTCACCCGCGAGAACTAAGGCGAGACTTTTTGTATACCTTGTTGCACGAACTCGTCGCCCGTGAATATTGATGATTTTCAATAAAAATAAAATATTATTTTTGGCCAATTAGCACACCCACCGCTACATGGAATGGGAATTTCAGGAAAAAATAAGTTTTTCTATATTTTTATTACGCCCGTCTCTCCCTTGAAATCTCCAAAAATAACACGTTTATTTCTTCCTTTAATTATTAAAGCATTTAACCATCCCATTACTACACTGTTTACATTCAACAATAAAACTTTATTTTTATTTTCTCCTCCATCTGGATGTTTTTGGCAAAACCATTTGCTAAATATGAAAATTAAATTTAGTTTTTTTTTTTTTTTCCGCCCTCTGAAGACCTTTAAAAAATAAGTTTGTGAAATAAGGTATAAAAAGAGTCTTGCTTATGGTTAGCCTGATGAATGATCTTGAATGGCTAAAGTGCAAAATTGCACATGAGATTCCCACAGAAAATTGAGGTTATACATTGTGTATTATTTATTCTATGTCATAACCTGATGGTCAGCCATGGGGGTAGAAGCGTTTTGCGTCTAAAAAGGAAGGTGATGAACTTAAACTTGATAAATATAATATTATTATTAACAAACATATAAAGAGGTGAACCTCATTTATGATTGGCTGAGATGCAACATGTGACTCTAAAATGAACACATGCAAATGTTTCTCTTACACCCTTTAAAAACATTTCTAGCAGAGGCCACTCAACAACACATCATCATTTCACTTGTATGACAGTAGTTGATACAGAAAACTACCTCTACAACAGGTTTCCTACAATAATTAACCAATTAACACAAATCAAATCCACATGGTGAGATATTTAAAGAAAGTTTCAGACGAATGTAATTCAGATACTCACTACACAAACATGCTTTTTGCCACATCACTTTAATAATTCAAGAATTAAAATACTTTGACAAGAATCGCTAAATGGTTTCTTACATTGTGTCATTCCAAATTAAATTTTTACCAAAATTAAGGAACTACTGTAGACTGCCCTGCCATGTGCAATGTTTGCACGAGTAAAGAATACAAAAAAAAATTCCTAAATTTACCTACAAACATGAAAAAAACAAACAAACCCACCAAATGAACAAAATAAATATAAAAAATGTGAGTAGTAACTGCTACATGGTAGTTTTTCCTTTAATAATAACAGAACTTTATTTTTGATAAATGAAAAAAAAAAAAAAAAGACAAAAAACACATTTTACCTCAAGAAATCTCACAAGATGAAAAATACGAGAGCAATAAAATATATAGACAAGAAAATGTTTAAATCATTCAACTGCATGCAGGTTCCACAGATAATAAGTCCCTTGTGGTACAAGCACAAAAATGAAAGTTGGCTGAATTAAACTCTGATATGTTCTCTCAAAAAACATCAAGATCATGTCATCATCCACTTTGTACTACTGTAAATTCCAAAGAGAGAATGACATGTGTATTTATCGTAGTATCTAAGGGTATAAACATATGGGAAGAGGAGACTGACGAAGGGAGGAGAGAAGGGCAGAGTTCACAGTATGAATGTAAGGTGAATTGATTTTCAGGTTTCTCTCTTTAATTAATAGACCACTTTTCTGTGGTCCCAATTTTGACAAATGTCTTTAATTTTATTATTCTAAACAGAATACAAAGCTGCTAAAAAGACCATGAAAACCCTGGTCCCAAAAGTAGTCTTTAATTAGAGGGAGACATGTATAACAAGGTGATATTTCAATCAGTATCATACAGTATCACACTATTTCCACTTTGTAATTCAATATTTTCTTTTTGAACATATTTTTAGGCAATATTGGGAGGGGCAGGAGAGGGGAAGAAATTGGGATTTTTCTACACACTACTTTCCTACACTGCTTATTACAGTTTTATGTTTTTTCCTACATTTACAGAATGTTCTTTTTCTTATATAAACAATGGTTTACCCGTTCTAATCAATAATTTCCCCTCTAAAATTCTCATCCTCTGGACCCCTCAGTGACAATCAATAAGAAGGATAATGTCTTTGGTGCACTTTGTACCAAAAAGATCCAAATGCAGAATCTATATTGATATACATAGAAGAATGCATGCTCAAACATTATATAATAAAATAAAATATAAAAACACATGGTCAACCATAAGTGTTTGCTAAACGGTTTGTCATTTCTAAAGACTTCACATTCGAAGGTTATTTTGAGACTCATTTTCCCATAAAATCTAACTCTCTGCCTGATGCTTTTGACAAGTTAAAGCTGTTGTACTTTCTAAGTTACGCTTTGTTCGTAGAAGTAGACATGGATATCTTCAGAGATTTCACTGGCTTAGAAACATGTAATGCTGTGTGTATCTAATCCAGACATGTTTCAAACTAGGCTTTACAATATGAAAAATAAAAATGAATAAAACCAATTCTAGTGGGACTAGTTAAAATTGATTTCTTTTTGGATAAAACAAATTTACATTCAATTTGTCATAGGAGAGGCTCTATGAAGGGGAAGTAAAACATTCAGATGTTTCATTGAAACAACTGGTGTCTTTTATTCATTGTTTTATATTTTATAAAACAGTATTGTAGTTTCTCGATTACATTAAGCCCACCTCAGGTATAAGCCACCCCTACTTTATGCCATAGTTTACGTACCAGCCTTTATAATAATAATAATAACAACTTTATTTTATAACGGTCAAAAAACTCGTTCACCCAAGTGGGTGTTCTTCCACGAGGCCGTATGGACATTAAACAAAATAATTGTGTTAGATTAAAATAATTAAGTGTTAGTACAAAGAAAAAACAAATATATATAATACATTATAATGGTTATTACATTACTATGTTTCTTTTAAAAAGTTCTAGTGTGCTTGAATTTTTTATATTGCTGTCTAAATTATTCCACAAAAGAGCCCCCCCGGTAACATAGACTTCTTTTTTTATATTCCGTTCTTGGCTTGGGTACGTTAAGGTTGTCATTTGACCTAGTGTTGTATTTACTTTCTCTTTGAATAAATCTATTTTTTAAATAATTAGGAGCTAAGTCATTCATTATTTTGTACATTGTGATATTT